GACTGCTTCCCCATCTCAGTGACTCAGCTTCCCCATCCGCACAGTCAGGGCAAGAACAGTTGTTCCCTCTCGGGGTCAAGTGAGAATTAAACGAGACAACACACACAAAAAACGCTCCCTCCTGCTGGAGTTAAGGGGTAAGTAATAGCTATGACTGTCATTGCTATGAGGGAGCCCTGATAGTGTAGTGCTTAAGGCATGTGACTGCTAATCAGAAGGCTGGCAGTTCAAACCCACCAGCCACCCGTCAGAAGGAAGGTTGGGCAATCTACTTCCGTAGTGATACTGCCTCGGAAACCCAAGGAGGGGCTGCTACGAGTTGGATCCAACTCGACGGCGGTGAGTTTGGTTTTGCTTTTTTTGGTCACTGCTGTCTCTGAGCTCATTTGCAAGTTTTGTGGCATGTGGACGTTACCTTGGCAAGAAGGAAAAGAATCCAGGGCTTAATGCAAATCCAAAGCACAGTGAGATGCCATGCCACAGCCACCAAGATGGCTGGAGTCGAGAAGTCAGGCAAAGACAAGGGCTGGTGGCGATGGAGAAACTGGAACCCGCATTCACTGCTGGTGGGACTGCAAAACGGCGGTTCCCAAAGAGAAACAGCATACTATCACATGACCTGGGAATTCCACTCCTCAGAACCCACCCAAAAGGCTGGAAAGCAAGGACTCAGGTAGACACTTGGGCACCAAAGTTCACAGCAGCCAGAAGGTGGAAACAGCCCAAGTGGCCACTGACGAAGGAGAAACACGGTAGGCCATCCACACCACAGAGTCACTGAGCCTCTAAGAGGGACGGAGCTCTGACACACGCTACGACGCGGACAAACCGCGAAAACACGAGGCTCGGTGAGAGAACCAGCCGCAAAAGGGCCCAGAGTGCTGGCGCTCACTGACATGAAACGCCCGGGACAGGCAGGGCCAGAGACAGAGGGGGCAGGGGCTGCCAGGGAGGGAGGGAGTCGACGGGGGCAGTGACCGCTAACAAGCACAGGGCTCCTTTCGGGGTGATGAAACGATCTCGAGTCAGACTGCAGTGACGTTTGCACCTAACTGGAAACCCGCTAAAATCCAGTAACTTACACACTTTAAACGGATAAACTGTGCAGCATGCCGGTTACAGCTTGATGAAGCTGTTGTTAAAACCCCCACGTTTATCTGAGTCACTGATACTGAAGAGTGACATGTGAAGCAGCCAGAGGTCTGGGACCAAGAGCCTGCAAACCGAGGGCTTCCGATCTAGGTCTGCTGACGGCCACCGCAGCTCGATTCAAGCGATTCACAATGTGGCCAAAAAACGGGAACCACCCAGTGGCCATCAAGAGATGATGGGTAAACACAGTGTGGTCCATCCACGCAAGGGATCATTACTCAGTCACAAAGAGGAACGGAGCCCTGACACACGCCAAGTCGTGAACAGACGCTGCCAACATGACACTGGGTGACATAAGTCAGACACAGAAAGACAAATACTGGACAATCCCACTGACAGGAAACGCCCACAGGAGGCAAATGTGGGGACTGACGCCCCAGTGGTCAGCAGGGGCTGGTGCAAGGGCCAGGGAGTAAACACATCTCTTCAGGTGATGAAAAGCGTTTGCGACTAGATAGAGCCAATGGTCGCACAATACAGTGCGTGTAACCAACTTCACGCTTCAAAAGGGTTGAGAGGGCGACTTCTGTGTCATATGTATTTTGTCACCATAAAAATCTTAAAAAGGAAAGGCAGAGAAGGCCCTGAAGGTGTGGAGCTCACAGGGCCACGTGCTACAGCCCAGAAGCAAGCCGGGGCAGCAGGCTGAAACCCTAATTGCCACCAGGCCACACCTCTACGAACACTCCCCCCCGTCCCCCAGCCCCATGGCCGTGAGCCCACCTGGCTACCCCCCAGACCCACAGCCAACAGGATTTCGTGGCTGTTGAGCATTTGCAGGCGGAAGTTAGCCCTGAACCCTGCCAAGACCAGGAGGAAGGGGCCGGGATGGTGCCAAGACGGCGGCTGGCCGGGACTGCCACGTGCCAGGAAGGGGGTGGGGCAGCGCCAGAGTCAACATGGCCTGACATCTGCCGGCCAGCTGGGCCAGGCCACTGTTGACACTGGCAGCCAGGTGCCGGCCCAGCTGGGCAGGAGGGTGGCGCTGGCAGCTGGCCCCTCCACAGACGGGCCTGTAAATAAAATCCCAGAACCACAGGGCAGGTCCATCACCCACCCACAACCCTCCCTGGCCCTGCCATCCCACCTCCTGTGAGATGCAGCCCCGCGTGGCCTAGCCCTGATGCACAAGGCATGCTCCGACCCCAGGGCCTTTGCACGGCGAGTCCTCCACCTGAAGGGTGGGGCTGGCTGCTTCTTGCCATGTAAGGGTTGGCCCAAAGGCCACCTCCAGAAGGGCCTCCCCTGCTTCCCAGGCTTAAGATACCAGATGCCATTTTGTCAACCGACTACTTTATTGTTCCTGTTGTTGAGAGCCACCGTGGCACTGACCCTGACTCCTGGCCACCCCGTGGAGCGAGTACAGCTGCTGTCGGGCTTCCAAGGCTGTCACCTTTCAGACCCCGATCACCAGGCCCTTCTTCCTAGACGCCTCTGGGTGGGTTTGAACCAAGGTCCCGGCTTTACTGCTTGCATCACCCAGGGATCCCGCCTCACTGTCCCGTGTCCGTTTCCTCATTTACTAATCTTTCTATCCTGAGCTGGCCCTGGGCAGGCGCCAGGCTTCCTGTTGGCAGTGATGTGCCCACACGGGGAATGGCATCCAGCCGGCGCTCAATACGCGTTTGCAGACTGCTGACCCCGAGCTGCCCCACCCACCTCTGGCCTCAGTTTCCTCCTCTCAGCTTCTCTCTGCAGGAAGCCCCAGGTGGTCCCTCTTGGCGGTTCCCACAACCCCGACCCGGGGCAGCCCTGTCACACCGTCACAGCCTGGACAAGGTGGATAACGGTCCTGGTGGCCCGCGCCACTCAAGGTCTTTGTTCCCCATGTGCTGAGGGCTCTGGGGCAAGGCACCTGACTCTCGCCCCACCTCTCCTCCCACCTGGCCGCCCAAAACCTCCCCCATCAGCAGTGAGCTCAGGAGCCAGGGCATCTGGGCAGGGCATGGGGGCAAGGGGTCCAACTGCCTTCTGACCCTGCACCAGCCAGCTCAGCCGTGCCCCTCCCTCCGGACCAGGCTCTGACCCTGTAGGTTTGGGGATCTCTGTTGGCTCCAGCCCCTCAGCCTGGGGCTCCCCCAGGCTGGGGAACAAATTGTAAAAATTCACCCCAAAGTGTTCATTCCTGATGTTACACCCCTAAATAACGTGAGGACTCGGTGCCTGGAGATCCTCTCCCATATGCCAAGCCCAGCTTTCTCATCTGCACAGCGGGATGGGCAGTAACGCAACCCAAGAGCTCAGACGGGTCCTTACGTAGAGGAAAACCAAGACACGGGCGGTGGTACAGCGGATCCCAGGGATTCTGAGCAACCACTAGGCCCATCTCCACCTGCAGGGACACGGCATCCTGCCTGGAGCCCCCTCAGGCCAAGCGTGGGGTGTGGCTGGTGACGCCCTGATGGAGCCAGTGCTGTGGGGTGGCGTCTGCTGGCCGCCAGCCCCTCCATCAGCGCCTGCACCCCGGTCGGGGGTGGGGCTGGCAGGAGTGCGGCCCCACCCCACCAGGGTGGCCCAGCTGCCAGGGGTGAGGCTTCTTCCAAGCTCCTCCCACAAGCTCTCACCCTGCCTCAGGGCCTTGGCCCTTCCAGCTGGAGCACCCCTCCAACCTCCCAAAACCCAGCTGCACCTCTCACAGCACAGCCCGGCCCCTCGCTCTGCAGGTCTGATCTTCAAGCCCTGACTATCCGGGAGTGTTCTTGCCGACGGCCCAAGCACCGTGGCCCAAGGCGACAGACAGTCGCCCGAATACTGAGGCGTGGAGAGAGGAGGCCTCTGGGCACGGGGACTACTGCGCTGTCGGTCCCTGAGATACCTCCCTGCCGGAAGAGGCAGCTCAGGTACCTGTGCGTGAAGGCTCCTGAAGGGGCTGCACCAGGCCGCACTCAGGAGCCAGCAGGTCCACCACCCACGCAGTCCCAGGCACCCTGCACCTTGAGCCCACCAAGCCTTCCGTCCTGCACTGGGAGGTTCCCGAGGCCCACGGAGGTCCAGCAGGGCCCAGCTGGCTGGGGCTGGAATGCAGCCCTATGGACACCCATCTGGTTCCCATCTGCCCAGTGCGGCGGCTGACTTCAAAGGCTGCCCCACCCGGCCACTTCCTCTGCCCTGGCCGCCCGCCCTCGGGGAGGGGGACCGTGTGGCGCGCTTCCTCCCGCCCCTCCTGCAGCCTGGGGAGCCCCCTGCCAGGCCTGGGGGCTCTGTCCTTGGCTCAGGACCCCTGAGACCCCAGCTAATGCAGCCTTAACCCCTCACCACGTTTGAACCAGCCTCTTGGCACCCCCGTGGCCACCACCTGGGGCCAGCACCACCGTGCCTCCCCAGCCTCCCCTCCCTCAGCCCCAGGGAGCGGCTGGACTTTGCACGCCGCTAACACAGCTGCCCATACAGCCACTGACTGCTCGAACCCCCACGGCGGCTGCTACTCTCAACAGACCAGATCCCACGCCTTGTCCACAAGGACCTGTCACCGCGCTGCCCAGCCCCCATCTCTTCCGCCCGTCTACCATCCGCACAGACAACATTCCACAAACGTGCTGGGCTCCGTCCAGCCTCCTGGCCTTTGCCCATGCTGTTCCCACCACTAGCAACTCCCTTCCCCATCTTCGGCCGAGGCTGCCTGTCTCGCCGCTAGAGCAACATGTTTCCAAAGGCCCCAGGGGACGCTGTGGAGTGCCCCAGGCTCCCCCCTCTGGCTGAGTTCCTCCACACATCGAACGACAGCCCACTGCACCCGAAGGAGTCCTGAGTGGGGCCACCAAGGTCTCCAGCACCAGACACGGTAGTAGTGCCCGGCAAACAAGCACCAGCTTGAGGCCCCCGCAGCCCGCGCTGTGGCGCACGCCCACCTGTTTGAACTGTTCCTCGTAGGTCCAGTCCCCGTGGTCTGGTGGCTGCAGTGGGGGCACCACAGGGGCAGCCCCCCCAGGATGGGCCGAGCCTGGCCCCTGGCGCTCCTGGCCTCCCAGGGCCCGGGGAACGCTGTCACCACGGAAGAGCTGGGGAGGTTGCGCCTTGCGGGTGAACAGGGCTCCAGAACCCAGGCTGGCGGGGCCTGGGGGGCCCAGCCCCTCATCCTCTTCATCCTCTTCCTCCTCGTCATAGTCATCCTCGTCCTCGTCCTCATCCTCATCCACATCCTCGTCTTCCTCAGCCAGGTCCCCCTCAAGCTCCTCCTCCTCCCACTTCTGCTTCCTGCTTGAGGAGAGAAAGCAGGGCTCAGGGGAGAAGGCGTTGGGCCTCAGGTACCCACTCTGGCCCACAACAGCTCCGACAGTAGGGAGCGCCCCATGCAGCCACCTGCTTAGGACACTGGTGGCCCCTGTTCTGTCTCCAATGCCCAGAACATGAGTGCCCTTCAGCCAAAATCCAAGCCCTGCTTACCTGCCAACCCCATCACCCCCTCTCTCCTTCATCTACCAGGCCACACAGCTCTCCTGGCTTGGTCCTTCTGCCACAGGGCCTTTGCACAGGCTGGGCCTACCTCAGGCATGGCGCGCCCCCTCCTCCTTCCCGCCCCAGAGCGGTCACCACCCTCACCATGGCACTGCTGCTCAGTGGCAGATTACCCCATAAGCAAAGGAAGCACGGGCTTACTCTGCTTACTGACCTGTGGTGAACAATCGCTCCTGGGTACAGAATAGTAAGTAAGCACAAGCAAGCTCGTGCTTCCCCCACCGGCAGGCTCACCCCACACTAGCCCTGCTGGGTGGTTCTAGGCAGCCGGACAACATCCTGGACCCACCTGCCCCTCTCCTTTGCTCATTAAACGTTTTCCCAGAAAGACATGGGCTCCACAAGCCATCAGGGTCTCCCCAGTTTTCAGCACAGGGCTGGGCTCTGGGTGAGCCCTCCACAGACCCAGGCAAAGCTACACACACCCTGCACGGAGCCATGACCCAAACCCATCTGCCGGGGCCGCAGCATGGCCACTGGCCACGGGGGCTGCTGCCACGTAAATTAACTGAGACAAAATAAAAAATTCAGTTCCCTGGTCACACTGGCCACCTGTCAAGAGTTCAAGAGCCACACCTGGCCAGAGGCTCCCATACCGGACACCGCAGATAAGGGAAAACACCTTCTTTGAAGTTCCACCAGGCTACATTGGTGGTCAGCCCCAGGAGGTCGAGGGTTGGTGTGTCCTTCACACAGCGTCCACCCCACCTCCACCTTACAGGTGAGCTAAGCATCCAAGGCAACACTCCCCAAAGACACCCCCAGATGCCCAGCACAGACTCACATGTCCTCCTCGGAGCCCATGTCCTCAAAGTTCCGGTCCCCTTCAGCAGGTCCCAGCCCCTCCCTGCCTCGGCCAGGTGGGGCAGGCGAGCCTGAAGGTTCCTCCTGGGCTACAGTGTCCTCATCCTCGGATCCCGGGGCTGCGTCCTCCGAGCCGCCGCTTGGGCTGGGCGGGTGTCCGAGGCCCGCAGCGGCGGCGCGCATGGCCGCCAGCGCAGCCATTTGCGCGCGCTGTATCCGGGCGCTCTCGGGCTCACGGTCCTCGTCCGGAGGGCCTGCACGGGCTCGGGCCGGGGGGCCGGTGGGGGGTTCAGGCGGCGGCTGCTGTCGGGCCTCCAGCTCCTGGCGCGCGCGCTGCTGGCGCTGCAGTAGGGTTTCCATGACAGCCTGCAGCTTCATGGCCTTGCGAGCCGGGCCGCCCCGGACACCGGGGGCAGGCGGCGGGGGCGGCCCCTGCGGGGAGGAAGCCCGGCCGCACTGCAGCGTGGGGGCCGCGGGGGAGCCGGGGCAGTGCAGGGTGGCGGGGGGTGGGGGCGGGGGCCGCCGGGCTCAGGCCGAGGGCTGGTGGGGCATGCCAGCAGCAGCACAGGGTGGGAAGCACCTCCTTGTCACGCCGGATGGCGGGGGGCAGCGGGAGCCCGGGTCATTCACGCATTTGCAGAAACCTGGGGGGCGGCAAAAGAGCCAGTCAGGAGGGGCTGGGCACCTCTGGCCCCATCCCTCCCAAAAGATCCCAATGCAGAGCCCACTGGGGAAATCCCTTCCCCACTCTGGGAAGGAGTGCAAACCTGGCAGCCTTCCTGGGGGCGGGGGCAGAGGGCACAGCACACTCTCCCCATCTGTCCCCCTTTCGCTGACCCAGGAAGAGTGGCCACTCCTTATGGGGCTCCCCAGGGACCCCCAGCCATCTGAGCCACAGAGAAACATGCAGTTGCCTTGGGAAGGGCCTGAGTTATTGCTTCATAGTGGGGGGGAGGGGTGGGACTCCAGGACCCTGATTGGCTACACCAGCCCCCAAGTGTCAGGTTCCAGGTGGGTTCTGGTTCTAAGTTCTACATAGTGCTCAGGCCCCTGTGGGTACAGTCTGGCTGAGAGGGGCTTCCAACCCTCCTGCCTTATCTTAGACCAACAGAAACAATAACTGACTGAAGTTGGCTCACTGTATACCTCTCTGGTGAACCTTCCCCAAGGGCTCTTTCCTCTCTTCCTGACAGCAGACCTCTAACTTCTTTGGGCCTCAGTTTCCTGAACTGAAAAGGGAAATAATAGTGGTCACCTCACAGCACCTAAGGCGGGACATTGAGGAAAGAGGACACAGAGCAGTAGCCAGCCACACAGGTGTCAGGAGAGCACACACTCGCAGTCCCCACCTTACAGACTGGAGACTGAGGGTGGGAGATGCCCACATCCTTTCCTCAAAGCCATGCAGGGCTAGGATCTGAACCTGCGTTTGGATGAGCTCTGCCCAGTCTTTCATTGCTCCCACATCACCCTCTTCTCTCTGCTGGGGTGCAGAGGCTTGAAACCCAGGGAAACCAATCCCCACCCCAGCCGTTGGTGTGGAAGGGGGTGTGTCTGGGAGCCCCGATGCGATGGATGTCACAAAACGCACTGTGCACAGTCCCCACTGACAACCCAGGCCACCGGAGCCTCGGGTGGGGAGTCCCGACACACCCAGAACCTGGGAACAGCCGGGAGTGGAAGGCTGGGTACCCCAGCCCCCCACCACAACCCAGCCACACCCCCACCCGCCCAGGCCGCCAATAAAACAGTGGGCAGAACCCAACAGGCCCGGTGACACCCCAGATGGGGCATGGTGGGGACAGTGGGGGAGGGGACATAGCCCCACCCTCCCCCGTGGTAAGAGGGCTCAGGAGGCCACCCCTAACTGGGCAAACAAGCCCCTAAAGGCTCCTAAGCCATTCCCGGGGCAGTCGGGGCTCAGAGAAGGGAGGGGCGGGGCAGGAACCCCAAGAGTCGAGGTGGAGAACTGTGTGGCGGGCTGACCCCGTCACCAGGCTGGCCTGCCTCCCAACCCCTCTTATCAGACTGGCTAAGGGAAGCCTCACCCCCACTGGGAATGTGGGGTGGGGGGTCTTGCCGTAGGATCCCCCCCCTCCCCGCAGAAGCCATGGGGAGCCCAGCACCCTCCCAAACGGAAGCCCTTTACAGACCCCCAGGGACTTCAGCCCCAGGGCAAAAGGGGCAGTGGAATGGGGGGCAAATGGTGGCCCCCGTGGGAAAGTGTGGAGGGCCACACCCCTAAAGGGCTGCAGTGTCCCCACATGTCTGGCAGGGGGCTGGGGGGCAGGACACAAAGACTTTCTCAGAGGCCAAGGGGCCAGGAAGTGACCAGCGGGGGCCCTGCCCTTCAGAGGCCGAAAGAGCAGCACCCAACCCCCAGCTCGGGGGCCAGCAGTCACCCCTCACCAGCCTCAGAAGTGCTGAGGGCACAGTTCTTGCCCGTCTCTGGCCTGGTCCGTCGCCCCTCCCCCACCTTTGACAACTTCAAGACAAGTCCCCCCCCACGGAAATGCTCCAGCGTCGCCACCCTTTTGGGGGGCAGAAGGAAGAGGCCAGAGGAAGCCACTCCCCCCCAGGGAGCAAACCCCCCCAGGCCGGTTGGGTTTAATGACCATTAGGGTCTCCCGGTGGGGGAGGGGAGCGGGACAGGCCTGCTCCTTGGGCCGGTGGTGGGGACAGGTGGGAACCCAGAGGCCGCCCCCAGGCCAAGCCCGGGTCCCCCATCGCCGCCATTAACCCCAAGCTGGCAACGCCCACCCATCCAGACCCCTCCCCCAATGAACTCTTTGTCCTCGGCCCCCACCCCCATTTTATGACAACCCCACGGGGAAGGCATGCCCAGGACGGGAGTGGGAGGGGGGTGAGGGGTGCTGGGTGGTCCTTGGGACTGGAGGGGAATCGGGAGGGATCCGGAGCCACACCCTCCCCCCAGTGCCGCCTGGGGAGAGGTCACCCGCTGGGGCCAGGGCCTTGCAAAACACGGTTATTTAAGGAGTTGTGCAAGCCGGGGGCCGCGGGTGGTGAAAGGGGCCCCTCACTCCACGCAGGGAGGAGGAGGGGGAGGGGCGGGGGCAGAAAGCTGGGGAGGGGGCGAACGAAGTCGAGGGGTGGGGGCAATCGGGGGAAGTGAAAAAGAAAACCTGAACAAGAAATAAAACGACAAAAACCCCGGAGTAGATTTCAAAGCCTTCTTGGAAAGCAGCCGATTTGCATGGGGGGCGGGGGGGGGCTCCTCTCCGGCCCAAGATACTGAAAACGGAAGGTATTGGCAAACCCGCCGCCTAGGGTCGGACGCCGAACGTTGGAATTGGCAAAGCGAGCTCCCCCGCTTCCTGCGCCCGCTTTTGTATCTGGGGGGCACTGAAACTTTGGGGGGAGGATTTTCCTTGGGTCTCCGCCAGGGAGCCGAACCTCATTCCCGAGTGCGGGGACTGTGGTGTCACGGGGGCCTCTTCCAGCCCTCGGAGCCGACACTTTATAAATAAACCCGCTGAGCCAGGGAGGGTCGCCTGAACTGCCTTCCCCGCCCCGAGCCCCCAACTCTGGGCTCCCGGATAAACAGTTACGGCGAGAACAAAAATTAAATAAAACCCGGAGAGCAGCCCACCGCGCGCGCACAGAGTCCATTTCCTTCCGCTGGCGTGGGGAGGGGGAGCGCGCGCACTCGTGACCCCCGATCACCCCCGCGCGCCCCCGTGCAATTTGGGAGAGGGCGAGGAGAAACTCGCGCAAGCCGAGACCGGTTGGGGTCGCCTTCCTGGCCCTGAACTTCCCTCCATGTTCCTGCCCAACTTTGGGGGCCCCCATTCACTTCCAGGCGCGCTGCTGCGCCCACCCTGGGGCCGGAACCCGCGGTTTCAAAGGCCAGCCCGCCCCTCGGCCCAGCCTCACCGCGCTGGGGCCACTCGGGGGGCACACGGCCCCGCGCCTGCGTCCGGCCCTGCTTGGCCTGGCCTCCGGCCCCGGGTCTAGGAGCGCTGCTGGCCCCCGGCGGTCGCCGGGTTTGCTCCTCGCGCCGACTCACCGTATCGCCAGTCGTGTCCGCGTCTACACCCCCATCCGACCCGATTGGTAAAAGTCTCCCCGCGCGCGGCCTCCCCCCCGCCCTCCGCGCCCTGCCCCCCCACCCCCGGGGCGCGCTCACCGCCCCGCAGACAAATCGCTGGGTGACAAATCGCTCTCAGATGCAAATACCTCGCCGGTGATTCAGCGCGGCGGCCCGGGACGCGGGGAGGGGTCTTGTGAGGCCCCCTCCCCCTTCCCCGGACGCCCCCTCGGCCCCTGCGCTCGGTTCCGAGCGACACAGAACTCGCTCAGGGATGTGGGGGGGGAAGAGAGTGGAAGGAAAATTTGAGGTCGCGGCCCCTTTAAGTGATAATAAATAATAAAAGGGAGGGGGGGGAAGCAACTCGGGTGGCACCGCCCCCTGCCTAGGGACCGTAGGCAAAGAGTGCGCCGCAGTCTGGAGCGCAGAGGGCGCGGAGGGCGAGGGCGGGGCTGTGAGCGCCCAAAGGGTAATACAGGGAATTGGGCCTCCGTTTGGGTGGGTTGGGAAACCCTTGCCAGGTCTGGGTCTTCTTGCCATCTCACCAAGTCCCTAGGTGGGGCCTCCTGGACTTGGAGTTTTTCTGCGGCCCCTTAAACTCATATTTGGAGCCAGTGACATTACTCTTCTGCAGGCCTCCATTTCCACGTCTGTAAAATGGGTATAGTAGTAGGGATTAGAGACCAGGTGAAAGGGTGTTATGGTGCGAGGACCTGGGAAGGGGCAGGGGGAGGAGGGAGGGGCCCAGGGCTCTGCGGTGGGGACCTGCAGGGTAGGAAGTGGTCTCCGAGGGGAAAGGGGCTCAGGCCGCACCGCACAGGCGGCGAAGGCGCAGGGGTCGGCATTAGGGTGCGCGCCAGGCCCTGAGGAATGCTCATCGGACGTCCTTACGGCAGCCACCGTGGATTGTCACCACCTCTCGGGAACCCAGCAATCCACCACGCAGAGGCGAGACAAAAAACAGCCTCCTCGTTTCACCACATCATCGCATTCCCCTGCTCCAGAGCACGGCTGCCCGGCAGAGACCGAGTGCATGTGCTCCTGGATTTGTTCAACCTTCAGATTCCTAGGTAGCGGCGACTGCTGTCGTCCCCATTTCGCAGAGCGGTAAACTGAAGCGAGGGGAAGGCCATGGTGGGGTGTGGGCGCAACCGGGACCCGTCAGTTCGAAAGGCGACCCCTGGGGGCTGATCGCAGGGCCCCGGCTTCTGCCCATTTGAGCACAAAGCGGGTCACCCAGAGCCCCCCCATTCCCCACCGGGCGGGGCTTGGGTCCCAGGTCCTCGATATGCTAGGGGTCTCTCCTCTAAGGCGCGCACACAGCAGGACCACCCGCTCCAGGTCCCGCCTTCGCGCCCTTTCCCCCAAGCCCTGTGAGATGAGTGTGGACCTGGGGCCAGGAATCCTGCTCCACCTTCCCAGAACCCAGGCCCCAGGCCCTGGTGCCCTGTAGGCCTGTGGTGGCTCAGAAACCTCTGGGCTCTTAAACACCCACCTCTAGCTGCCTATTCTGGGGGGAGGGGCACAGACATCTGCCCTGAGGGGGGCAGTTTGAGACTCTCCCAGAAACCCAGGTTAAACTGGAGGAGGAAGAGAGACAAGATCCTTAAAGGGCCAGGTCATCCCATTCTGTTGTGCGCGGGACCCACTTGGGGGCAGAGAACGACAACAGCCAGTCTTCAGAGGAGGAATGAAGAAATGTGTGAACTCGTTCATTCATTCAACTGATGCTTATAAATCACCTGCTACGACGTGGCAGGCGTCTGGGGGCTGTGGAGGCTGGGGATGGACCCTCTGTGCAGGGGACATTCTTGAGCTTGAAGCAGGAGAAGGTCTGGCCAGGGGCTGTCAGGTACAGGCCCTCCAGGCAGAGGGAACAGCCAGTGCAAAGCCCTGAGGTGGGGCATGTTGGAGCGGCTCCAGGGGGCTGGAGGGAGGGAGGGCGCAGGGGGATGCAGCCATCATCTCAGAACAGCCCATTCTGTGCCAAAGATGGGCCCAAACAGACTAGAATTCACACCCTGCCCCACCCCAGCCAGGTGCATGGGGAGGGGGAAAAAAAAAACACCTCTGTGCCTCTGTCTCCCCCTCTGTACAATGGGTTTGGTTTTCATTAATTCTTCCCTAATTCTGAGGATTACACTTCTGTCTGCTCACAGGGAAGGGTGCACAGCGGGGGCATAATTACCCCAAGGGTGGAAGGGACATATGCCCTGTTCCCATTTCCCAGGGAAGTCCCCTTGCCTGGATGTAGCTCCCCACCCCCAGAGGCCTGAGGCCCAGAAGGGTGAGGGGTGTCACCAGCTGCCCTCCAGTGATGGGGTTTCTATTTTTAGCCCAGTGAGAGAGCTGGGAATTTATTCACAGACTCGCTGGCTCCGGACACATCCCAGGATGCCTGTGGCTGCATTCTGGCTGTGTGATTTTCCATTAGTGGGAGACCCTCTCTGGTCTCCTTTTCTCCAGCTGTGAAATGGGTACCTCCATGCCAGCCCTGTAAGGCTTCCTGGCCAGAATCACTATGTGGGGGCCCTGTGGGATTTGGACTTACCCCACCCTCAACACACACACACACACACACACACATGAAAAAAGCCCAACCCTCACTCAGCACCTCAGTTATTTAGCCCAGGGTGGGGGTGGGGGTTTTCTTAAAAATTCACCCAGATCCCATCCTCAATGTCTTTCAAAATTAAACCCAAACTACCCCCCTCCCCCTGCGCCCTCACTCCCTCCAGCCAACATGCCCCACCTCAGGGCTTTGCACTGGCTGTTCCCTCTGCCTGGAGGGCCTGTACCTGACAGCCCCTGGCCAGACCTTCTCCTGCTTCAAGCTCAAGAATGTCCCCTGCACAGAGGCCCATCCCCAGCTTCCACAGCCCCCAGATGCCTGCCACGTCGTAGTAGGTGCTTTATAAGCATCAGTTGGACGAGTTCACTCATTTCTTCATTCCTCCTCTGAAGACTGGCTGTTGTCGTTCTCTGCCCCCAAGTGGGTCCCGTGCACAACAGAATGAAACCATGCCTGGTCTGCTCCGCACGTGATCAGTCACAGATCTCACCATTGTGATGCATTGGCTCTCACCAGCCCACTGTCACTTTTCAGAAATGATTGCCAGGCCTTTCTTCCTGGTCCTCCTTGGTCTGGAAGCTTGCTGAAACCTGTTTAGCAGGATAGCAGCACGTGAGCCTCTACTGTCAGATGGTGGGGCCACGCATGAGGCCCCCCGGCCAGGACTCAAACCCAGATCTCCCACATGCAGGGCGATGTTTCTACCTCTGGGCCACCAGTGCCACCGTCTACACAGAGGTGGGGACCAAACCCAACTATTCCATATCTCACTCTCAGAATAAAAGCCAGCAGTGAGGGGCTTGGCCAAACCACAAAGCCCACCTCTGCCTTCACTCCCACCTTGTCCCAGACCTGTTGTTTATCCGTTAGGTATGGGAGACCCAGGGCCCAGGAACAGGTAATTTTTTATTATTATTGTTTTTAAATAAAAAGGAAGAAAACTAATGTATTAACAACGAGCATGTGTAATTATACACTCAGCCTGAACTAGGTTTGTCTTTACATTAACCAAGGAAAAAAAAAACTCACTGCGGTCGAGTGGGATTCCACTCATAGTGACCCCTCCTTGGGTTTCCAAGGCAGTATCACGACGGAAGTAGATTGCCCGACCTTCCTTCCAAGGAGTGGCTGATGGGTTTGAACCACCAGCCTTCTGATTAGCAGTCACATGCCTTAGGCACTACACCACCAGCACTCTTGTTATCCTACTAGTGCAGTTCTAAATGTACTTTCAAGTATTTTTTCATGGAGGAAGGGAACCACAAAGCAAAAGTACCTATCATCTGATAAAGTCATAATGTAGGGGAGATTAGGGGCCCTAGAGATTTTCCACTTTCAGCCGGGGGTCCAGGTTAGGGTATAAACAGGCGAGGCCCCTAGGCGCTGGGGACTCCGCGGGCGCCCAAGGGTTTAAGAAATGAAAGCAGGAAACTCCGTGGGTGGCGCGCGCCACCTGTCGGGCACCTGCGGGACAGCAGCCGGGTGGGCGGGGTCTTGGCTCCCACCGGAGGCCGCCAGGTGGCGCCGTCTCACCTGAAAACGTGGCGCTTCCTATGGTATACTCTGGGCCCGACTGTGGGAAGACTGAGGCCCACGGACCCAAAGCCCTGTGTAGCTCCTTTTGAATACTTTACGGTAGGGTTCCCAGATATGATAAAGGACGAGCAAATAAATTTTAAATTTCAAATGATGTTACTATTCTAGTGTGTGAGTGTGTACCGAAGGCTGCATGGAATAGATTCCCGACTCCTAGGGACCCCGCGTGTTCAGAGCACAACTGGTGCATAGGGCTTTCTCAGCGGGAATCTAACGGAAGCAGCTCAGGAGGCCTTTTCTGCAGTGCTACTGGGGGGCTCTGAACCGCCAACCTTCAGCACAAATTATTAGCACCACTTAGGGACACGCACAAGGCACACTACTGCTGCGTTCCAGTCCTTTCCGACTCACGGTGACGACACATGTGTCAGAGTAGAACTGGTCCACAGAGTTTTCAAGGCCTGTCTTTTGAGGTGCTCTGGGTGGATTCGGACTGCCAACCTTCTGGCCAGCAGCTGAGCCTTTATCCATTTGCACACCCAGGGGCTCCCGTATCAGGCATACTAAGAAAGTATTTGATGTTTAGCTGTAATTTCAAGTTAGCTAAACCAACCAAAAGCAAACCCACTGCCATCGAGTCGATTCCAGCTCATAGAGACCCCTCCTTGGGTTGCCGAGGTGGTATCTCTACAGAAGTAGATTGCTCAACCTTCCTTCCAAGTTGGGTTTGAACTGCCAGTCTTCTGGTTAGCAGTCAGATGGCTTAGGCACTATGCCACCAGAGATCCGTCAAGTTAGCTGGATGCTTGCGTTTTTATTTGCTAAATGGCAGCCCTAGCCCTCAGGCTTTGCACTGTTGTTGTTAGGTGCCTTCGAGTCAGCCCTGACTCATAGCAGCTCTCCACTAGTGTCCCAAACCGGGCAGGGTGTTTCCTCCTACCCCCTGTAGTCCCACTCCAGGGTTTGGAGTCTCAGGATAACCTCTGCTCCCTCCCCGTGTCCAGACCCTGGGTCCCCACCTCCTCTCCCAGCTCAGCTGTACTGCCTTCTGCCCATGCCGGCAGCCTGAGAGGCTAGAACAGAAATGAAGTATGGGTAGTCCCTAACTTACAATGTATTCGACTTATGATGACCCACACCTATGGCCGCCCACTTTGTGTGGTACGTCTTACTGAGTGCTGTGCACTACACAGGGTGTTGCATTGCTAACCTGGTGATGTCATGTGATCTATAACTTTACATGTAAAGCTTATGACCCCCAACATGCTTCAGATGGAGCGAACTTCATATTAACGTCAAAATCATATGATCCCTTTAAACTTGGAACCCAAGCCAGTCCCAGAGGTCACCTATCAGCCCAAAGGCAGAGAGGCCCATAAACAATGCCAACTGTGGGTACTGTGCCCCACTAAGCAATTGCCTGAAGAAGACCGAATGGTCAGCACTGACCCTCGACCAAGATGAGGGGCAGGGAAGCCAGAATAATGGAAACGGAACAACCAGAATGGAAATCAGGAGAACAAGGACCCACTGTGAAAAGCTGAAAAGCATAACCAATGTCACTGAATAATAACATGTATAGAAATTATGAAACAAGAACCTAATTTACTATGTAAATTTTCTCCAAAATCACCAGAAAGATTTTTTTTCCAAATGACATGGTGTTTTATCCTTTACTGTCACACTGGCATGGCAGCGAATTTGGAGGCCACGCTTGCAGGCCCTATTGGTGGCTTGATGTTAGAATTCTCACTTTTCACACAAGAAGCCTGGGTTTGAATCCCAGCTCGCACACCTCAAGTGCAGCCACCACCTGTGTGATGGTGGAGGCGTGTGTGGTGGTAAAACGCTGAATCAGTGTCAGCAGAGTTTCCAGGCTGGGACAGACCAGGCAGAAAGACCTGGTGACGGGCTTCTGAAAACTATGCAATGAAATCTCTGAGGATCAGTGGTCTGACTGGTGGCCCATCTTGGGGACGGTGCAGCATTTCCTTCCCTTGTGCAAGGGAGCACCATGAGTGAGAGCCGAGTCCACAGCAGCAGCAGGACCAACGACAAGGGCCCTAAACTACTTGGAAGGACTGCAGCCCTTGGAGAGGCGAGTGTTTGTCCTCCTGGGAAGCTGAGGCTGAGGCCGAGGCCGGGGAGGCGGCTGGGCAGACACTCTTGTTCCTCCCCTCCTGGTCGGCCACCCCCTGCTCCTGAGGAGACGTATTATGACCCCAACTAATACACTATGGCAAAAGTGACTTTTGCGACTTCTGAACCCAGGCCTTAAGAGGCCTTGCAACTTCTGCCTCCTTTTGGAAAAAGTCTGACTTTGCCAAGACTGCCATGATGTGAGGAAACTCAAGCAAGAGGAGCACTGAGTCATCAGTCTTCTTAGGCAAAGCCTTCTTGGCCAGTCCTAGTCCAGGAACCATCTAGGTGAGGGGAGCTAAGCTGAGGTACCCCAGCCAACTCAAGAAGTGCCCAGCACAGCCGCCACCCCACAGAAACAGAAAGATCAGAAACAGATGTTCTGCAACGGTCAGTTTTGAGGGGGTTGGATATGTAACCATCAATCCTGCTGCTCATGTGGGCAGCTCTGTGATCCACGGGAATTATTTATTCAACACCATCCTCCATTTTCCCAGCCAAGACTGCAGACACCTCCCAAGAAAACAAATCCACTGCCATAAAGTGGATTCTAACCCACAGCGCCCCTAGAGGACAGAGTGGAACTGCCCCAGAGGGTTTCCAAGGCTGTCAATCTTTACCGAAGCTGACTGCCTCATATTTCTCCCATGGAGAAGGCTGGTGGGTTTGAACCACCAACCAATGCTTTAACCACTGTCCCACCAGAGCTCCTTAGACACTTGCTCCAATTCTAAGATGCACATTGTTTCCCCATATTCATGTATCTGAGAACAAGGTGAATCTTATAATATCACAGTCAACCACAAGGCAATAGTAAAAACGTCTATGGACATTTTCTGGAAAGATCTGGAAAGTGCCAGCATAAATCATCTTCCATATGAGGAAATACAACAATAAGTACAATACCAATAGCAGCAAAAATCATGGCAAATTTGTCCCCAACATGAGACGAGAACCAAACACCTCCACTGTGTTTATCTCATACAGTAATAATAAAAATATTAACAACAGAAGGCCAACAGCTGCTAGAGGGCTCATCTTGATCCCTGCAGAGTCGGCTCAGAGAGGGCCAGCGTCTTGCCCCAGGACACACAGCCTGTGGGCCCCCGGCCCCCGGCCCCCTGCTGCACGGCTTTGGCGTCCTGGCGGGGTCTGGGTGGATGGCCACACTGCGCAGCTCCGCGTGGGGGGCGGCGGGATCGGAAGGTCCCCTGCATGGGCGCGGGAGCGCCGGGGAGCACAGGGGCAGACTCTACGGAAGGCCTGGCAGTGGGAGCCCAGGAACGCATAGAGCAGCGGGTTCAGCGCGGAGTTGCTGTAGGACATGCAATGCGCCCAGATCTTGAGCGCGTAGGCAGCGTCGCTGCGCGGGTGCCAGGCAACCGCTGGGCCCAGCGCGTGCAGCACCAGGAACAGCTGGATGGGGCCCCAGCAGGCAGCAAACAGCAGCACCACTGCAGCCACCAGACGGACACCTTGGCCCGCACCACGCCAGCGCGCTCCGCCGGCAGTTGCCCCTGGGGGTGGTGGATGGTTGCAGAAACCCGCTGGAGAGTGAACCGTGCGACTCTCCTCAGGCTCCCAGGTGGCCCGGGCTTCCCTCTCCCTAGACCGCCCCACCTAGACCTCCCGGATGGTCCCGGCTTCCTTAAGTCCTTCCAGCTGCGCCTTCCCCAGGGCCCCCCACTGTGCCATGCCCCTCAAAGCTGCCCAGCTGAGTTTCCACCCTCAGACTCCCCCACATCGTGCCTCCCCCAGCCCTGTCTCGCCGCCTCCGGCATCACGCACCTGCAGGGCTCGGTCGGCGGGGGCCGGGCTCACGGCGGCCCGGCCCAGGTGGCGCAGCATGGCGCCGTAGCAGGCGCAGGTGGCGAGCAGCGGCAGCAGGTAGAGCGCCAGGAGGTTGTAGAGAGCGAAGGCGCGCTCCAGGGCGCGGCTGGGGAAGTCCTCACTGCAGTAGGTGCGCGGCCCCGGCGAGAGGCGATGCAGGGTGAGCACCGGCGCCGACACAGCCGCGGATCCTGCGGGGAGCCAGGGCTCAGTTTCGTCCATCCCCTTACGTGGTTCCCAGGGTGACGACATTGGGCACCTGTTGGGTGCCGGGGTCCCCGGGTGCGCGCCCTCGGCGTCCCTCCGCGGAAAGGCTATTACGCGCCTTTCCCAGATGCGCAGTCTGGGCCCCGGGAGTGGCACTGGGTGGCTCCGGGCGCCCGACCTTTCACCCCCATCCCCATGTGCCCCAGCGTTGCACTCACCCACCCAAATGCTGAGACTGACTACCAGGGCCAGGCGAGGCGTGCGGTGGCGCAGGGCGCGCAGCGGGAACACCGTCACGTACCAGCGGTCCACGCTCACGGCGGTCAGCGTGGCGCACGTGGCCTGCACCGAGACCTGCGCGGGGCGGGAAGCCGAGCGTGTGGCGCCCTGCCCGGCCCGAGGCCCCACCCTGTCCGCGCCCGCCCGCCCCGCGGGGTCCTGCCAGTCCGACAACTCACACACACGGGGCGTGTTGTGGGAAGGGTCCCCAGGGATCACAGGTTGAGCAAGCAGGATAAGCGGAAAAGAAAAAACGCGAGGGGAGTACAAGGGGGTTGGGGAGCATGAGGGAGCGGCTGGGGCTTGGACTGAGACCCTGAGACCCGGAGTAGCGAAGACGCCCCGGGACCGCTGGAGCGGGAGCCTTGGCGCTCCCTGTCCTCTGCCTTCCCCTCGCCTGTAACTCCAGCCTCTCTCCCACTGCCCGGGTCCCACATTCCCCGGGTCCGCGTCTTCCACTCTTCGGTGTCGAGTCTCCACCTCTGCCATGCCCACGCCCCCACTCAGACTCTCTCCAAGCTCCACCCCCTCCAGGCCTGTGCCACTCAGGCTACACCCTCGGTGCCGCCCACTCCCCTAGCAGGGTCCGGGCCACGCCCACACCGCCGGGTCTAGAGGGGTCCGGGTTCCCTCCGTCACCCTCCCCCCGCTCACCTGCTGGATGTAGTTCAGGAACTTGCACATGAAGTCGCCCAGCACCCAGGCGGGCAGCGGATAGAGCAGGGCCGTGAAGGGTGCGCAGCACAGCAAGAAGGTCACGTCCGTGGCCGCCAGGTTGGCTGCAGGCGGGGAGCGTGAGGGGCGCTGGACCAGAAAAGCCTGCCCACGCCCTGACCACCCACCCGGGTCCGACTGACCCACAGGGCGGCACGGCAGGGCACTCTCAGGCAGAGAAATTGAGGTACCCTCCAGTGTCCCCCTTTTGCGTTGCATAGTCGTTCAGGGAGTAATGGTCCCAGCTCTCCTTGTCCCTGGCCCTCTGAACCTCAGTTTTCTTATTTGCAACACGAGGACAATAGTGCTACCCCGGTAGGCCAGCAAGCGCTGACCGAGCCGCCCGTGTCCTGCAGCGTAGGGCACCTCCCCTGTACCGAGGTGCGAGGCATGGCAGAGGTCGCCAACTGGGGGCCCAGTCAGCCCCTTCCCCCCACTCCCTTTGTTCAGCAGACAAGGTGTCCTAAGAGCCCCAGTGCCATCGGACATCTTCCTCGGCGGCGGTCCGTCTCTCCGCGTGTCCCGTTCCCCCACCTCGTTGTGACTGCATGGGCCCGCGTGGGACCCAGGCCCCCTGGAGTGTGAGCTCTCTAGCCTACAGCGAAGGCTCGCTCACCGATGTAGAAGTTAGTCACGGTCCGCATCTGCTTGTCGCGGCAGACGACAGATGACGAGTGAGTTCCCCGCCAGGCCGAGCACCATCAGCGCAGCAAAGAAGAGCGGGACCAGCCAGGCGTCCACGGGCTGCTGCGCGGGGGCCGGGCCGTCTGAAGCGTTGGCGCCGCCTCCGGACTCGTTGGCGGTCGCCCACCAGGACACATTGGGCCCTGCGGTGGTGGCGGCGCTCATGGTTCACCGCTTCCTCCTCACTGCCGCCCGTCGGCACCCCACCCGCTGCCGACACCGCGCCTCCTGGCCGCCCGCTGGGGTTGCGCCCGCCGAGCCCTGGAACGGCCTTGGCTGCAGGCCGCAGGTCTGCAGGGCAGCTCCGCCGGGCTCGGCTGCTCTCTCACCAGGCGGCCGCTGCGCATTTATACCCCACGCCCCACCCCCTGCGCCCCGCCTCCAGCATTCCCTGCCTGCGCGCCCTCCATTCACCTACACCATCAGGAAGGGATGGACTGTGTAGGGGGTGCCATGGACGGAGAGGGGGAGGGGAAGGTTGTGGAACCTGGAAAGAGAGAGGTTAACAGGAGGAAGAGACTGGCCGGCAGGGGGAGCAGCCGGCCGATGCTGAGGGCGACGACTGGGGCCTTCTGAGAGGGGCTGGGGCTCCAGGTGGGTGGGCCCAGGCTGAGACCCTGAGTGCCAGTTGAGAGTTGCTCCCTGGGCCACTGGGAGCCACTGAAGGTTTGGGGCAAAGGAAGCCCAGATGTGACTGTTAAAGAGATGCCATTTTTTAAACAAGGAGCTCAGTCTTGCTGGGACTCGGACTGCTGCAAACCAGACCTCTGGGGAAGTGCCTCCCACCTGTCTGGTGGCAACTGGCTGACACCTGGTTTAGCAGCAGTGGGGACCTGGGCACCTTGTGCCATTCACAGCGGAAAGTGGGTGAAGGGCAATTTACAAAGGCCTCATCTTTGACCCACAATCCCGTACTTGGAAGTGTACCCAGTATTTGCCAATGAGGTCCAGAGTGTTCAAACCTCTTGGAGCACTATGCAGCAAAGAAAAAGATGCTACCATTTGTGTTGTTGTGTTGTCGTGTTGTTGCCATTGTATGCTGTCCAGCCGATTTCAACTCAAAACAACCCCACGTGACAGAGTAGACCTGCTCCATAGGGTTTCCTAGGCTGTGATCTTGATGGCTCCACCCTCAACAAAATGGATTGACATAGTGGCTGTGACAATGGGCTCAAGCCTGGCAAAGATTGTGAGGCTGGTGCAGGACTGGGCAGGGTTTTGTTTTGTGTGCAGAGGGGCGCTACAAGTCAGAACCAACTGAACAGCACCTAATGACAACAATCTTAACAGCAGCAGCTCACCAGGTTTTCTCTCACAAAACCTCCGGTGGGTTGGAACCACCAACTTTGCTTAACCATTGCACCACCAGGGCTCTTAACATTTGTGTGGCCGAGACTGAAAACGCTGTCTTAGTTAGCCAGTGCAGCTGGAAGAGAAATACCCAAGCAGGCGGCTTTAACAAACTGAAATGTATTTTCTCATGGTCAGGAGGCTAGAAAGGCAGAATTCAGGTACCAGCTACGGGGAGGGCTCTGGAGAAAGGTCCTTGTCCCTTTTCAAGCTTCTGCTCCTGGGGCTCTCCAAGTGGCTGGGCCTCTCTCTGGCCCAGTCCTGCTTCCCTAGCTGGCTTGTTTAATCTCTTTTATATCTCAAAAGATTGACTCAAGACACACCTACACTAATCCCACCTCATTAACATAACAAAGACAACCCATTCCCAAATGGGACTATGACCACAGGCACAGAGGTTAGGACTGACACCACCTGTTTTGGGGGCCATAATTGAATCTGTAAGAATGAGGAAAAGGAAGGAGTGTAGACTTGTGCTTGTAAGTGCACTGAACATCTCTGGAGGAGGTAGGAGAGAAGAACAGGGAAGGGAAACGTTTCCCTGGTCACCCTTTTTATATCTCACAAGTTATTTTTAACAATGACCTAAAGAGGGAGGCGTTAGGAGGAGGTGGAGGAGGTGGCCTGAGGGTTACTGCTAGTGGGTCAGGGGTAGGGGAATGGTTTGTGGAAAGTTGCTTGGGGAGGGCTCAGCAGGTGGCTTCCAGTGTGTGTGTGTGCACTCTGGGGAGCACTGGTGGTTCACAGATGGATCAAGGGGCCAGGGAGGAGCAGTGAGGTGCTGGGGGCCGGGAGGGTGTTAGGAAGGTGCAGGTTGGGGCCCCTCCCCTGGAGGGAAGCCAAGAATGGAGGCAAGACCCTCACTGCCCGTCTGGAACCCCTCTTCTGGTCTGCGCCCACTCACTCACAGCTACTGTGGGCCACATCTGAGGACAGGCCCGCAACACATACACTCCAGAAGTCTCCCGGCTTTAATCACCATCAATTTCTTATGACTCTTTCACACTCACATGCACGAGGTAACACAGTATTGCTAGTTTGGGTCACTCAACAGTTCATCTTCCTGTTGTTTTTTTCTCCTGGCTCTTTACTTGTGAAATCAACCTGGTTATGTGTCCTGTACATATTCCCACCAAGTCTGCGAGCTGCATCTCGTGCTGTCCTTTAACATGGTCCTCAGTCTTCATTTCTTGTGGACTGAACAGGGGATACCAGAGCCTAGACTAGTTATTAAATTCTCTGCTTAAAATCTCCCATAGCTCCCTCCCTATCACTCTGAGCTAAAATCCAGAGCCATCATCCCAGGACCTCAGGCCTGCAGGGTCGGTCCCCTCCCCGTCATTCCCCCACTGTCCCCATTACTCTGCTCTGGCCACTCTGGATACTAGGGGCCCCTTGGCTGTGCCCCCTTCCTGGCACACCATTCCTACTGCACAGGGAACTCCATGACCACCTGGGGAGCCGCCACTCTCCCCACCCCGCTCGTGGTCACTTTTTGACCACTCATGGGCATTTGTTGAAAGAATGAACCCTAAGGGGCAGAGAGGCTGCCAGTAAACTGAGGCTGAGAGCGGCTGCGCTCCAACGGAGGCACCTTCATGGGGGAATGGGAGGGCTGAAAGTGGTGTACAGGCAATTCGCCTCCTCGGTGATGGGTGGGGCGTAAGGATCATCCCAGCCAGTCCCCGGCTTCCAAAACGGACGCCCGCACCCCCGCCTCCGCGCCCCGCCTTCAGTTGCACGGTCTGTCCTTCCGGGGCTGGTTGCCTGTCTGTTCTGCAGCCAGCATCCGGACGCAGAGATTGCGCAGCGGTCCTGCTCCTCCCCTGTTTCCCGCCTCAGTTTCCCTCCACCCCGTCCACCCTGGGGGCAGGTCTCCCCGCCCGCGGCCTTGTCTGGCTGTCGCGTGCCGAGGTCCCGCCCCGCGCGTCCCGCCGCCAGGCTCCGCCCCGGCCCGCCTCCAGGCGTCCGTCACTTCCTGCCGGGCCCCGTGGAGGCCCTGCCGGGCGGCGGCGACGGCCCTAAGCCATGGTGGCTCTGGAGAACCCAGAGGGCGGCTCGGCGGCGGCGGCAGCAGGGGTCTCCCCCGGCGCGCGGCGGATGCTGTGAGCGCGGGCGAGGCCGGGGGCGGGCGGGTGACCCTGGGTTCCAGGCCCCATCGTCTTGTCCCCCTCCCGTCCGCGTGTCTGTCTCCAGCCCCGGACCCCGTCCCGCCCCTCTTCCGTGGTTTACCTCCCGCGGGGCTGGGGGGACATTATTGTTACCTGAGTAGTTACTTGGCGGGCGAGGACACCGTGCCACACGTACGCGACTATTGATGAGGCACAGCCTGGTTTACGGCTTTTCATGACCCCTGGGCCCTGGCGGCCCCGGGTATGTCCCCGCCTGGAGTCCAGGGTCTCCCCCACCAGCTCGGGTGTGGCGCTGCCGCGGGCCCGGGTCCCGATCGGCTCGTTGTTGTTTTGGGCATTTCCCTGCACGCGGTGAGGTACTGCTTGCCCCCCAATTTGGGTTTTTCCGGCCCCTAGTTATCCATCTGGGGTGATCGTCGCCCCTTTCTGGGTAAACAGGGCTCTTTGTTTTTCCTGAGTAAACACCCAGATTGAAGGCGCAGGGGTCACGCCCCGGCAAACAGGAGCCTGTCTGTCCTCACGGTATCAGGAGGCGTGACCATCTGTGGGTATTCACGCCGCGGCCACCAGGCCCCTTTAAGCTGGGTGTTGAGGTGCAGCCTGGGTGGCCTCGGGGAAGCGTAACCCTGTTAGTCGGGGAGCAGTCCCGAAGTCTGAAGTCTGGGGTGCCTGGGCCCCTTTGTGCCTCCTGTGCTGGCGGTGTGGCCGGCAAGCCGACTGTCCCCCCCCATGCCTCAGCTCCGCCACCTGGAAAAAGATAACGGTGCCGTTCATCTCTGGCAGGGAGAGTCAGGATCCAGTGCTCGCGGTGTTGGCAAACGCGGGGTTCCAATCCTTTAAATGATCTTTAATGGTTATTTTAAGTCTCTTACTATTCTAGTTGTTTTTAAAAAGGGTTGGATTTGGTCATTTAACTGTTTACCTTGTTACTGCTGTGCGGCTGTGGAGTCCATTCTGATCCCACCCTGTGTGAGGGGTGCACCTGCCCCACAGGGTTTCGATGGAGCTCTGGGGGGGCTTCGAACCCCACCAGCCTTTCAGTTAGCTGAGTCTCTAACTGCTGCACCTTCAAGGTTCTTCTGTTATTATTACATTATTATTATCAATCTGTCCACCTGGAATTATAGCCAGAGGTTGTGGGGGTTCCCACAGATGTGGAATTTATCTTTTTTAGGGAAACTTTAACTGCCCCGAAGGAGCTCTGGTGGCACAGTGGTTAAAGCATTTAGCTTCTGACCAGGACATCAGTGGTTCGAACCTGCCAGCTGTTGCACGGGAGAAAGCTGCGACAGCCTGGTTCGGTAAAGGTTTACAGCCTTGGAAGCCCTATGGGGCAGTTCTCCTCT